CACACTCAATTAGGTATGGAAATCTATCCTACCCTACAGGAAAATAGACTGGGAAGGGGACAAGAAGCAGGGGCATGATAGAGGGGAGGGCAGATTGGTAGAGGGGGTAAACAGAAGCAAACACTTCTGAGGAGGGCCAGTGTCAAAAGAAAGAATAGAATAAATGTGGGTCAGAATAGGATTAGGGAAATGTATTTAGTTTTTCACAACATGACTACTATGGAAATGTTCTGCATAACTGTACATGCATAACCTGTATTGAGTTGCTTGCCTTTTCAATGAGGGTGAGTGGGGAGGGAGGAAAGGAGAAAATTTGGAACCCAAAATTTTAAAAACACATGTTTAAAAAAAACGTTTTCACATGCAATTGGGAAATGAGAAATATAGGAAATGGGGTACAGAAGTCTGTCCTGCCCTAAAGGAAAATAGAAGGAAAAGGGGACACGAGAAGAGAGATGGTGGTAGAAGGGAGGGCAGATTAGGGGAAGGGGTATTCAGAATGCATGCCATCTTGGGGTGGGGGGAGGGGTGAGATGGGGTGAAAATTTGGAACTCAAAATATTGTGGAAGTGAATGTTAAAAACTAAAAATAAATGAATTTAAAAAAACAAAAAAAAATTTTAAAATTTTAAAAAATAAATAAAAGGTTTTTTTAAAAAAAGTAGTTTTTATGTTATCATGAATGCAATAAGGAGGCATTGGAGTTTATTGAGTAAGGGAGTGATATGGTTAGACCTAAGATTTAGGAAAACCACTATAGATACTATCCAGAGAATAGATTGGAGTAGGAAGAGAGTAGACAAGAAGACTAATCAGGACACTGTTGCAAATTGTTTAGGTGACAGGTGATGAAGGCCTGAATAAGAATATTGCTTATGTAAGCAGGAAAAGAGGACAGATATGAGAAATGTATTGAAAGTAGGAATAAAAAGATTTGGCAGCTGATTCACTATATGGGGTAAGGCAAAGTAAGATGTAAAGTGTGGCAACATGATTGTGAACCTAGGAACCTGGTAGAATGGTAGTTTCCCTCCCAGAAATTGATAAATTCACAAGCAGGATGGGTTTTGGGGAAAACATAATGATTTCTGTTTTGTTCATTTTTAGTTTGAAATCCAATTTGAAATGGTTGATTGGCAATTAGAGATGCATGATTAGAGCTCAAGAAAGATTATATGTAAACAAGTAGTTGAAATATATAGAGATAATATAAAAGGCACTCTGGGAGAGAAAGGCATTAGTAGATGCAACTGGGTGGGGCAGGAAAGGCCTTGAAGTAGGTAGGATTTGAGCTGAGGAAGCCAGGGGAACATGTGAGAGGGCAAAGAATTCCAGATATTGAAATGTTCTGTATGATATATAGCAAATAGGCTATTGTTTCTGGAATGTAGAATGTGTGAAAAGGAGTAAAGTGTAAGAAAACTGAAAAGGTAGGAAGCAGCCAGAGTATGAAGAACATTAAATGCTAAATAAAGGAGCTTATATTTAATCTAAGAGGTAATAGATAAACAGTGAAGTTTATTAAGTGGGGTTAAGGGGTTCATAATCAGACCTCTGCTTTAGCAAAAAAATCACCTTGCCAGGTGAGTAGAGAATAGATTAGATTGGGGAGTAACAAGTCAGAAAATCTGTTGTAGTTATCCAAACAAGATGTAACAAGGCCTTGAAATAAGACTCTGGTTCTCTGAGTGGAAAGAAGGGAGTATATATAGGAGAAGTATATATAGGAGACTTTATGAAGGTCGGAATAATAAGACATGGTAGTATGTTAAATTTAGCTGACTATGAGTTAGGAGTTAAAGATAATACCAAAATTGAGTGCCTGCATAATGAGCATTATAGTGTTGCCCTCAGTAGCAATAGGAAAAGTAGAAAAAGGAAACAATTTTGAGAAAAGATAATGAGTTCTATTTTTCCTATGTTGAATCTGATATGGTCATAGCTTATCTACTTTGAGATGTCAAAAGATAGTGATGTTCAACTGGTGTTCAGGAAGAGTAACTAGTGCTGGATAAATAAATATGAGAATCATTCACATGGAAAGGATAATTGAACCCATGAGAGCTAATAAGATCACCAAGCAAGATAATATAGAGCAAGGGTTCCGTGTGTGTGCACGCGCGCGTGCACGCACATATGTACACATGCACACTCACATGCAGACTCATGTGACATGGACCCCTTTGGAAATCTGGTACAAGAATTTTATTTTCCTTTTCCAGTGGTACAGGAGAGGTGATGAGGGAAGATGAGAAAGGTAAAAATAGATAAGTGATAATCGAATAAATAAAATTTAATTTGTAATAAAAGTGGGGGGGAGATCATTGCTAACTTTAGGGAGGAAAGATTAACCTAAAAGTTGTTTTTTTGACAAGATAAAGGATTTTGGAGAGAGTTACAAGAAAGGAAGTTGAGGTTGTGAGTATTTACTTAAGGAATTTGACTGCCAAAGAGAAGAAAGATATTAGATGATACCTAGGGGATTGACTTTTTGTTTTTACTAATTGGTAGCAGATTGGTCAAGGGTACATGAAGAGGAAAAATCAGGGTTTTACCCAAAAACATTATAAGGGGAGAATATTCCTTAATGTTTTGCAATGAAGATGTGGCAGGATAAAGAGGGATCTCCAAATGAATGACTTTTTTTTTTTTTGATGAGGCAAGGACCAAGGTAAGGGGAGTTGTGCCATGGAAGGCTTTAAAGAGAAACTCAAATGTTGGGAACATCTACTTTGGAAGTGGGGTAGACTAATGGATAAAGTAGGGAGGGATCGTATATTTGCCTTCTTGTAGTAAGAACCTAGTTGAGACTAGATAACAACTATTAATATTATGATCAGTCATGATGCTTTCATGATATTCTCTAGCTCCTTTGAGCAGCAATTAGCAATGTATGGGGAGGAGAATGGTAGTAATATATTGGTTTGGGGTACTGGGAACCCTGGAAATGTAAGGGTGCAGGGTGACTCTGCCTTGAAAGAATTCAACCACTCAAGCCTTCTTTCAGTCAAAGTAGCAAGGTTTTATTATGAAACCAATATGGCAAGTAAGATTCCTAGTAAATGTGCTAATGTATCACTAATAGAAGTGGGCAGAGTTCCTAGTGAGTCTGCAAATTTGATGAGGAGGGGACTGATACTTTTATTTAAAAAAAAAAAAGACTGTGAGAAGATCTGGATGGGATTAAGGAATAGTAAATAGCCTGGGTTGGGCCAGGTGCAGACAATTAAAGGAGTTAAGTAGTCAGAGAGCCACAGTGAAAGGGCAGTTAAATGAATTAGTGAGTATCTAGGTGGGTTGGGATGGGCCAGATGCCTCAGGCAAAACGCCAGGGACTGGATTGCTGAACCATATGGGAAAATTCAGGGACTGCTTGCTTACAAAGTCATGGTCTTTTCCTTTTAGGGGTCCAGATCCCATTACGCTGTCATACCACCCTCAAACAAATGGGACCCAAAATCTTTTCAGACAAGGGAAGAAGGTCTCATCTTCTGAAACTGCTTCCTGCTGAAAAGGGTCATAGAGCTGTCCCTGTCTTGAAGGAGTCCAGGGAGGAGGCTAACTGGAACTGAGCACAGGCTGCATCAAGGGGATGATTAGGGGACATGGGCTGGTACCAACTGTTTGCTATCAACTGAAGGTGAATGGCCTGTAGTCTGGAAGGCACAAATCTGACAATTTCAATATGCAGGGCCCAATATAGGGAGAATTAAAAGCAATGTCAGAATAAGGGAAAACAAAGAAAGAGATGAAGAGCCCCACTAGAAACATTCATATTTGACATACAGGATTATCTAATCTTGTTACTTTCTCAAAAGTTTCCATTCTGATTCCAATTCCTTTAGGAGGATTAAATGCTCTTGGGAAGTAACGACACTTTTGCAAATAGATGTTTTCTACCTCTGGGTTCAATAACCACAGAAATGAGTTTGCCAGAGGCTAATTTTACTCTAATTATACCAAAAGATTTGGGAGGATGTTTAAGTAATGACTAGGACAAATAGGCTAGCTCCCTCTAAGAAAATTGATTTCTCTGAAATTCTCTTCCTCAAACTAAACGGAAGATGTTTCTGACTTAATTTCAGTTGTTTGGGATATGGAATGACTACACATTCAGGTCAAAACAGCAAGATCTCCCACACTTGCATTGTGTTCATATTTTTATTAACCATTTCCTCTGATTATAGAAAATTGCTAGAAAAGGATAAAGCAGGGAGAAGATTTGCCAATTCTGCCTCATAGTCAGACTCAGGAATAGCCAGGTGGGTACCATTCCTTTTCAAAGGAACATAATGAGGAAACTGAGCCAGGAGGATCCCATCTTAGACTGAGTCTAAAATTGTCCTCTTAGCTTTTCCAGATGCAGACCTCCACCTGTATCACATTCTCTCTGAGCAGCTTGTGGCATTTCTCTCAGATGGTGGATTATTAACTACTGATTACTGATGGATTATTATGATCCATTAGACAACTCAAAATAAAATCAGTTACAATCTCATGAGCTTTTGCCTCAAACAGTAAGTTTCACTAATCACAGCTTAGAGGAAAAAAATTACCAGGACTTGAATATCAATTTTAAAATTTGTCCTGCTGCAAAAGCCAATCATTAGAGAGCATTTCTGAGGACTGCTCTGAATGGGCAGAACCAATCTGGATAAGGTTTTCACCTCATCCCCTCCTTTCCAAATCAATTACCAGTTTTAGGTTTCAGCATTAAAAATAACTCAAACATCTTAGTTAACAGTCATAATTTCATAAGTGAGAGCCAAATTGTTTTAACTGCAATTTCCTCTTAACTATAGGCCAAGGAGAAAATACTCAGTTTTTTAAATGGTGGCAGTTATAAAACATTATAAGACAGGTTTAGCAGGGGAACAATTTTTCCACTGTCTTTTTAGTTTCTCTCATTCCACACTCTAATAACATCCAAATTATGAAAAGTTACTTAACATGAGTGATACAAAAGTTTACCAGTTTGAAACTTGAAAAAAATTCATTACCCATCAAGTGGCTCCAATTTTGTTGAATGCATTTCCATGATGGGAGTTGCTACTGATGAGGTCTAGAGGTTAGGGTTTGTGGAATCCCAAAATCATGACACACAGGTTCTGTCCGAAAGAATTTGACCCAACCCTTCTTTCAGCCAATAACAAGGTTTATTGAAGATTTGCCATATTAGCTAGACTCTTAAGGAATCTAAGCATCTATGGACTATTGGCTAGATTGTGAAAATCTGCACATCTTAATGGAGACAAGATAGACCTTATATACAGAAAGACTATGGGAGAGATCTAGGAGTAGCCAAGTAGTCTATGAGGTAATAGAATTCCAGGGAAGTGGAGGATCTAGAAGTGGCCAAGTAGTCTATGAGGTAACAGAATTCTAGGTAAATGGAGCCTAGGTGGGACCAAGGGTGGGGAGTGGCCTGGGGCCATAGGGAGGCAAGACAATGGAGGTCCAGGCTAGGTCAAGGATAACAGAATTGGGGGATTGGGGGTAGCCAAAACAACAGAATCATGGCCTCAGGGGAATGCCAGAGATCTCCTTTATCAAGTGGGAGAATTCAAGGAAGGTCCAAAGGTTTTCTAGGGCCCATAGACAAATGGACCCCAAATTGGGACAAAGGTCTCACTTTGGACCCATACCCCATCACTACCACTGTTTGCTCAACTTACCTGGGCTTACCAAGTACAGAGGCTGGCTGGCTTCTTACCTCATACGGCCTTGAGCCATCTCACTTTCTTCTCCCTACAGCTGCTAGTGGGGTATTGGTGGTGGTGAGCAGGATATGCTGAACCTGGGTTATACTTCCAGGCCTTCTGGGTGGGCTACAGGGTGTCCAAGGGCTAGGGCTGTTGCCAGTGGGGCCCCACTGTAGTTGCTGCCCCTCCCCCTCCTTCCTTTCCCTAGGAGGGGAGGGTGAATTCAAAGGTGAACTAAATTTTCTACCATTCTCCAGCACTCTCTTCTCTTAACCTGATCTAGGATGAGAGAGGTTAATAGGAAAACATGGGGCTGTTTTGCAATCCCCACACTGAGTTACCCTCTTGACTTAAGGAATGGAGTGGGGGAATGGGAGTGACCAGGATTGTAAGGAGGTATTTGAAAACTCCTAAATGATCAATCTCAAAACCTCCAGAATCTAAGATGTTTTTAGCTGTTCTAACTGTTCACTGTAGCCTTAGCCTGGTCAGAGCTGGGACTACAAGAAGAAACTTAGAAGTTTTTTTAAATTTTTACAATTTCTCTTGGTCTTCTAGATGATATTGAGGACAGACACAAAACTTTCCTTCTCAAGGTCTTGGAGACCAAGCTTTTTCAATTCTATAAAATATAACTTAGGGGCAAATCTTGGGGAAGTCCCACTGAGTCTGGCTATGAAGCTGAGGATCCAGGAAACCATGAGGTTGGAAGAGAAGGGGGATCCAGCAGGCACCAGCATAGAGACTGGGAGTCCCAGGGTGTAGAGGGAGTAAGCCTCAGGAAATCAAAAAGCACCTGCAGTTTTCTCCATTCTCTAGCACCTAGAAAATCAAGAGAATTGGGAATACACTTCCAGATAGGGCATCCCCATGCAACAGAAGGTCTACCTGGATGTGAGATCACCTTATAACTGTCTGACCCAACTGGAGCCTGAAAGCTTCACACTTGAAAAGCAACTCAAGCCTCCTGAGGTGCTTGGAGTGACCCCAATTGCAGAATGAGAAAGGGATGTATAGAGAGGAGGCATATATACTTTCCAGTCTTGGCTGGAGAAGGGCTTGAGGGGATCAGGCAATTCCCTGTATAGGGCCACCAAATATGTTGCAGTTTGGGGTGCTGGAAACCACAAAATATGCAGGCACAGGGTGACTCTGCCTTGAAAGAATTCGCCCACTCAAGCCTTCTTTCAGTCAAAGTAGCAAGGTTTATTTCAACACCAATATGGCAGGCAAGACTCCTAGTAAAAATGCTATTGTATCACCAATAGGAGCAGGCAGAGTTCCTAGTGAGTTTGCAAATTTGATGAGGAGGAGCCTGATACTTGGATACAAGACTGTGAGAAGATCTTGATGGGATTAAGGAATGGTAAAGAGCCTGTGTTGGGCTGGGTTCAGACAATTAAAGTAGTCCAGTGGTCAGAAAGCCACAGTGAAAAGGCAGTTAAAAGAACTGGTGGGTTGGGATGGGCCAGATGCCTCAAGCAAAACACCAGGACTGGGTTGCTGAAGTGTATAGGAAAATTCAGGGTCTGGGTTGCTTACAAACATATGGTCTTTTCCTTTTAGGGGTCCAAGTCCCATAACGCCATCAGTAATGTAGAGCTGGGATTTGGCAGGGCATGATCCATGTTAGAACAAAGGGTCTCAAATATTGATAATAGCATTAAGTTGAATTGCTTCATCATGACATCAAGATATTGAACAGAAGAGAATGTAGACAATTCAGGGATTATGGCATAGGAACAATCTCAGGAGTGGATGGAATGAAGGTCATAGTAAAGATGAACAATAGACAGGTTGAAAAGTTTAGGGAGAGCAGGTAGGTGGTGCAGTGAATAGAGCATTGGCCCTGGATTCAGGAGGACCTGAGTTCAAAACCGGCCTTAGACGCATAACACTTCCTAGCTGTGTGACCCTGGGCAAGTCACTTAATCCCATTGCCTAGCCAAAAAAAAAAAAGTGCAATGAAAAGTTTAGGGAAAGATTAAATGATAAAACTTAGCATCAAATGAACTTCATAATGATATTTATGTGAAATTTTTCTGGGTTTTTTTTGTTTGTTTTTAGCAATAATTAACTTTATGACTTACAGAGAGAAAGAGATAGAAAAGTCCAGGCTCAGAACCCCTGCATTAGTTCATTTCCCTTATAAACAAAAGGAAACTGATTTCCAAAGAGGGGAATTAACTTGCCAAAGTTCTCGGAGCTGGTAAGGGACATTTCAATCCAGATCATCTGACCCCAAGTTCAGTACTATTTTTTGTCTCTAATAACATTAGCCTCCTCCTAAGTTTCAGAGAAAGACAGTATAAACTAAAAAGCATTACTAAAAAAAAAAAGTTCCTTTAAAAATATTTCTATGTCATTGATCCCAGACCTCTGGCCACATAAACATTTAAGAATTATTTAAACAGTGGAATTTTAATATGAATATACTTGTTGGGAAATAGTATTGGAAAAAGGGAAGGGAATAAACATTTATATAGTACCTACTATGGACCAGAAACTGTGGTAAGTGTTTTTTCATTTGTTTTGGTTTTTAACAAATATTACCTCATTTGATACACAACTGTCCTGAGAGGTAGATGCTATTATTATTCCCATTTTGCATTTGAAGAAACTGAGGCAGACATATTTGCCTAGAGTTGTATATCTAGGGAGTATAACACAGATTTGAATTCAGATCTTCCTGTCTCTAGCCCAAGGCTTTAGCCACCATATCTCCAGTAGCCTCATACTGAATGAGGAGAAATCTCATAGGAGATGCAGTAATTGGGGAAGCATTATTGTGCTGACCAAACTGACTTCAGACAAGGGTATCGATGATTATTCAACATTCAGCTATTTATGCACCAATCACAAAGAATGTGTATATGCATACCAATATCAATATCAAATTAAGCATCTGATATGTCCTTTTAAAGCCTTTATGGAGTTATCAAACTCAGCTGATAGAAGCTGACCTTGTTCCTATTCCCAGACCATGAATTGCCTGAGGCTGACCAGATATTAGTACTCTTAGCCTTCTAAGATTTTCTAAATGTCATAAACCCTCCTCTCCAGGATTCCCAAGCTTTCTCTATGGACCTTCAGTTGTTATTCAGAAAAAAATATGTACCTGGTAAAACCATAGAATGGCCCAACACCTTTGCACCTGCAGTCCCCTACCTCTGCCCAAATACTTTATAAGATCCCCATAACCAGCTACCTCTTTCAGCTCCCCAGCACTTGCTGCTGCATTAGAAGCCCAGTTGCAACTCCTTGTCCTTACTAAAGATCATAATTTTTACTATATTGACTGCCTTCTCACTAATTCAGTTTTACAGAGTAGACATGGTTTAACTAGGTTAAGGTATTTGGTCATGTAAAATTATAAAACATTATCTAGTTAATACGTTGACAAAGATTAGCTCAGTTGATTACATTCATCTGTTACCATCTATCATCACAATGAATAGAATAACATAATACTCTTCAATTATCTATGTTACTTTGGACAAGATATATAGTCTGGAATTATGTAATGTTAGAATAGGAAAAGAACCTAGAGATTCATTAGGTCAAGTGTTCTTAACACACATTACCTTTTTTCACACGCACACTGACAATGCATATTGATCCCTTTGACAGTCTAGTAAAATCTATGGATTGCTTCTCCAAATTATTTTTTTCTAAACATATGGAATAAAATATTAGGTATTATAAAGGAAGTCAATTATATTGAAATTGAAAAAAAAAAGTTCATGGACCTCAGGTTAAGAACTACTGCTCTTATCCATTTTCTTATTATACATGTGAGGAAACTGAGGGCCATAGAGGGGAAATTACTTATTCAAAGTCCCACAGCTTGTAAGCAATATTTCAAACTAGATCTTCTGATCCAAAGTCCAGTGTTATTTCTTATCTACTGATACAAGCCTCTTTCTCATTTTCAGCTTCCTCTTTTATAAAAGTTAGAAATTGTATTAACGTATTTGAAATATTCATTCCAATTGATCTTACAATTCTATTAAATAAGAATATCATGTATGGGTTTATGTGGCAACGGGAAATTGTCTTAAAATGACAGAGGAGGGTAGAAAAAATAATGATAGAGCAATAATAGAGAAAAATATTACCTAATTTACAAATTGGTCTAGGTTAGTCCCTATTCAGGAGCCCTTTTCTTTTTTATATTCCTTTTTTATTCTTTCACTGGTATATTCGCTTATTTCAAGTACATAGTTTGAAGGAAAAAAAAATCTTCCTTTCTTACTGAAATACTGATTTTTCCCATGTCCCTTTTTGTCATTTCTTTAGCCATAAAGAAAATTATCCAAGGTGGGGCAGAGCCAAGATGGCAGAGTGAAAGCAGTGACTTGCTTG